GAGTTTCCTTCGGAATACTTCAACGGAACCCTATAGGAAATAATAGGCCTACGGTATTGAAATGAAAAATGAACTTACGCTATTACTAGTCTGCCAACACATTTTGAATTCTTTGAAGTTTCATTCGTTTTGTAGTGCATAAACGTATGAAAGTCTTGTGTCAGACATAAACAATCTACACTGAAAAAAGATAAATGACTAGCTTTCCGCTTGCGGCTTTGCCCGCGTGGAATTTCGTCTGTCACAGAAAAACTTTATCGCGCGCGTTTCTGCTTCAAAAACCGGGATAAAAACTATCCTATGTCCTTTCCCGAGACTCAAACTATCTCTATGCCAAATTTAATCAAAATCGGTTCTGTGCTTTAGGCGTGAAAGCAGGACAGACAGACAGACAGAGTTACTTTTGCATCTATAATATTAATATAGATTAAAAAAAAATACCGATTGGCGTAACAAATAATAACAGTGTCATCTGTAGTGGAATCCGTCGTTTTTCAGCTGTTTTTGTTATCACCAAAGCTGTTAGCAACCTTTTTAAGAAAGCAGTGACTTGACTTTAGTAGTACGTTGGTTCCTATATCGCTCAGATTAAAAAATTCGCTCGGCATTAATCTGCTTTATAAGCTTCATTTTTTCCCTTATTCACAAACTCCTGGTTCCGATTAGCCTAAACCCAACTAATTATATTCCTTATCAAGTGGCGTAAACGCGGGTGCGTCATTGCCACTTACATTTCATGCCGCTTGCTTTGTTGTACTCGTATTAGCCGGTTTTTTGCGTCTCGAAAAGGGAATAATGAGTTCTTTTTATGTTTCCCTCCATAAGTGAGATGTACAGTCGACCTAATAATACCTAAACACCCAAATACCTCTTATCCACGAGGAAACTCGGTTGTTGAGCACTGAAAATGTACACAATTTCTGCCCGAAACTGTACCCCCATTATCCTTATCGTCTCTCCCAAAATATTACACCGTTTTGTACGGGAAATATCTATAAAATGGACCAAAGTGAAATCGTGCTCCGATTTCTTAAGCTTTTAATGCGAGAATTGGAATGATGGCGCGTTGGAGTTATATCATCGGATTGTGACGTTTCGTTGACAATATTCGAAGCTGAATTTTCTTTTCGTGGTCTTATTTTTGTGGGGAACGGAGTTGAGATTAGGATTCAGTTATAGGTATTTTCTCTATAAGTACAATCTCAATACCTGAATAATTTATGACACAACCAGCAATGCAATCTTCTTTCTAAATCTCAATCAATTATCTTTACACCGACATGAGCCTAATGCCAAAGACTTTGGCACTCCTAGCAACCTTATGATGTAGGTAAGAGACATAATAATCACGGGATCAATACAATTCCAGTACCTAAAGCAGTCAAATGATTAAACTTAGATAACTATTGAAGTTTTTTGAGGATGAAGTTCATTTTCACCTTCAGCCTTGTCGTTACTTTCCATCATGTGAGATACAAGTATTAAGTATTGAGTATTGAGCTTCTCCGTTGTGGTTAAAAAGAAATCTAAAGAAGCGGCGGGGTTACTCCAAAAAAACGTTATCCGAAACTTCCAATGCTGTGCGACGGTGTCAAATAGACCCGAAACTAACGCAATTCTCAAACATTACTATGAAGTCTCACTGTGCGCGTGGAAGCACAGAGAGACACAAACTAATCACAGAGCACTATTCAACGCTGTGCGTTCGATTTGCTGCTTCACTTAAGCATCGTTTGTGAATACGGGCGTAAGTAAACAACTTTCTAGTTCTATCTTGGCTAGGTCTCGTCGCATCTATCACGCTGCACAATTACGTGGGGGATTAGTGGCTGAGATTGCAGGCCACTACGTATGGCTCAGCCAGAATCGATCAAATTAATAACAGTTTTACTGCGGTTTCAGTATACGTAGTGATAAAATATTTGTTCTGCAAATATTGTCAATTTGCTTACGATTTTTCATTCAAGTTTGAATAAACAAACAAAGTTCATTACGGACCACGGAAATATGTTTAGCTTTTCTAAAACCTTTCAATCCATGTCAATATCTGTTAAATACACAAGCTTATTTCGGCAATCAGTTACCAACCAAACTTGGAACACACGAGTTGGATTGTATTTTTTTCATAAAAGTAGGTAATACATTTGTTAAAACTTTTCAAAAAGAGAGTTAAAAGTAAATTCGTCAAAAAACTCGTAAATTTTCCACAAGAAAAATTTTTATATGAAAAGTGTCGAATTCACACATGATTTTCCTTGTGATGAGTCCACTCTGTGCCAAATAGACAAAAACAAATAAACATAATACGAGTATAATTCATTTCTGATACGTAAACTTAAATAGGTTTTTAAATTACAAAATATTAACTTTCCCATAAGTATTCCACTGATGTAAAGCCATTATAAGAAAACCAAATGAAACCGAATAATGTTCAGAATTTATTTCATGTCCCATTTCTATGCAAATGCAACACTTCAAGAATAGGGTTATCGCACAATTGTACTTTGAATTCTACAAAGCGAGCTTTTTAAAATTCTCCACAAAGAACAAAAGCGTAGAAGGATAATGATCTATGTTAAATAGATACGCTGATATCGGCCTGTGTATGCAATAAATTGCCTACTTCGTGTTATACAGGGTGTTAGGTAAATGGGTATATGAGCCGACACTAGCCCATGTTAACATGGGCATATAAATGGTATGTAGTACGAGAGCCCACGACCAAAACCATGTGTCATAGCAATACGGCAAAAACCCTATAAAATCGTTAGATTGTATCATTCTGAACCCGACTAAGTGTGTAGTAACGGTCGAAAGTGTAGCAACTGAGTAGGAGGCCATTTCTGCTGTGTCAAAAAAAAAAGACAGTCGGTATTATAATAGCAATACGTCTGATAGTGAAAATGTACATAGATTCTATAATTGTATTACGAAAAAGTTTGTTTTCAGACATTTTGCGCGTAGCATAAAGCCTGTGCGCATTTTTGAAAATGTCAACAAATTTAGCCGGACTGTATCATAGCAATACGGATAATTATTTTTTTTAACTTTTCGTATTGCTGCCATGATTACCAAAAACCTGTTTTCAGACACTTTAAGTGTATCAAAAAGTTGTATGATAGAGAAGGTGCTACACTTAATTTGTCTGACATAAATTTTTTGCACATGTTGACAACTTATTTTATCATGTCCAACAATTTTCAGACATATTGCTATGATACCGATCGGTAAAATTTGTTAACATTCTCAAAACGGTCTCAAAATTTAATGCGTTCACATTTCCGTCTGAAAATTGTTTTGTTCGCATCAAATAACCAAAATTTACTAATAAAAAAGATTTTCGTATTGCTATGAGACATTTTTTTTTGTCTCATTTTTAATTTTTTTAAGTGATTTTACGGGTTTGCGCTACACCACTAACGTCTGAAAATAATGTTTCCGGTATCTCAGAACTATCATTCAACTACAGTCTGCAAATCAGACATATTGCTATGATGCAGTTCGGTAAAATTCTTTGACAATTTTGAAAATTCGGTCAGATCAAACGCTACGCGGAAAATGTCTGATATTGGTATTTTCGAGTTCAGGATAATCGTATCTATCGATTTGATGCGGTTTTGGCCGTATGGCTATGAGACAAAAATTTTGGTCGTGGGCTCTCGTACTAATGGTGAAGTCAGAAAATTGATATCTTCATTTTAATTATTTTAATTTTCATACAAATACGATTTTATAAAATTTATTTTATACGAAAATTAAAAAAAAATGATGATATCAAATTTCTGACTTCACCATACCATTTATATGCCCATGTTAACATGGGCTAGTGTCGGCTCATATACCCATTTACCTAACACCCTGTATAGGACTTAATTTTTCTTTTGTGTGTAAAAAGAAAATTTGTTGGCCAGAGCCAATCGGTATTTAACGTTTACAAAAGAGCCACATAAACTTTTGTGATACAGACGAGTAAGGAATGAAAGAGAATGCATGAATGAGATCATTCAGAGTAATAAGATTTTGATATGATATGATAGATTGGCATAAAACGTGGACCCCAAAGCCAATCGCGGTAAACTAGTAATCTATACTTATAATAAATCTGTAGAGAGGCAATTCTGTACATGAAATATATTTTCAAAATAACTATCAGGGGGTGATTAGTGATCGATACTGATGCCAAAAAAGCAATCAGTAAAATTTTTGTCTGTCTGTCTGTCTGTCTGTCTGTATGTTCCTTATAGAAACAAAAACTACTCGACGGATTTTAATGAAACTTGATACAATTATTCTTCATACTCCTGGGCAGGTTATAGTATACTTAGGAGTATCCAACGGGAATTCGCGGGAAAATCCTTTTATATGAAAAATCTAAACCACTTAAGTTAGACGCTTGAAATGTGGCAGGTACCTTAGTAAACTTAAAGCTTAGTTACAACAGGATATTGCAAAATTCCCACAGGAACGGGAGTTAGCGGGAAAAATATTTGTATGAAAAAATCTAAACCGCGTAAGATAGATGAAGGGGGTAAAACGGGATCCACGCGTACGAAGTCGCGGGCGGCCGCTAGTATTAAATAATCTTTTTTGATTTGGAGCTAACCTTCAATTCAACACACAACAATAATTGTAGACACCTGAATACTTAGGTATCTTCTTCATAGGGTTGTTACAAAGATCGCCATAGGTCAAAACATAAGAGTCAAAATCTCCAAAGCACTGCACGGATCTACGGATCACGCAAGAATAAATCCTTGGGGGAAACCTTTGCCCAGCAGTGAACATCATTGAAATGCTTCTACACTTTTGTCGTTAACAGCTTAAAAGATTATTTATTTGGTATGAAAAATTGTATAATAATACACTTTTTCGCGCCATTCATTATATGGATAAAAACCATGGCGAGGTGTGAGTGTAAAGGATCGCGAGTGAACATGCAAATGATATTTATAGTTTGGTTTATTGCGCTTTATGTTAATCCATTTTGTTTTTTGTTGCAGGTAAGTGCAAAGTGGAATGGAGCAAGCGGTAATGGGTTTGAGGATCAGGTGTTTGCACTTCGTCGAAAGCTTTTGGTGAGGTTGTAATTAAGCATTTTATTAATTCACTCGTAGTAAAGTTAAAAATTGTAAAATTATTATTGTTACTGGTTTATTCCGGCTAATCTCCGAAACAGCTGAACCGACTTTGATAGGAATTTCACTGGAAGATAGCTATAATAAGTAACATTTAGTTACGTTATGCACACTAACAGCAGTGTCAATTTGTATGACACTGCAGTCACCACTGCACCAATGCACAGCACCTGTTTTAATAAAAGAAAACAAAAAGCAACTGTTTCTCATATGACCACTTTTCTCGGCAAAATGCATCATTTCAAAATATGCATTCTACAACAATAATCTTATTACATAACCGCTGCATAACATTCCCCGAATCCTCTTGAATATGTAAAAGATTTTCACGCAAACAATGAGTGTAGTGAAAAGCACACATCCCAGCCGAACGTACTCGAGTTGAAATCAGATAGGCCCTTGAGTGTAATCAGATATAGCCTGGCGTGTGGCCAGCAGTGTACGCTGGCTAAAGGACGGCCAAGCGCGAGCCTGGCGAAATTGGGGTGTTATGACGTAATACTGTGGTTATGACGCTACAAGTATTGTGCCAACGCGAGAGATATGAACGCCAATGTTTTTGGTATTATTGTTGAGGTTCTATATGTGGATAAATTCGGGCTTAAAGTTTAGATTTGTGAAAGTATAAGATTATTTGGCTTCGCAGTACATCTGCTCCTCTCACTTACGATCGACTAAATAACTTGTTGACACTTATCAACTACATACATAGTAAGCAAAATCTTTCCGTCTGTACCTAGTACATCCCCGGGGACAAACTTGACCTTCACTGGTGGGGTTTTTATTGGCGGTTAAGCTGTAGATCCCAGGATCCCTCTCGAACGAGAGCTGGGAATAGTCCCGTATCCTCCCTTATAGAGTTCTGTCCAATTTACTGCCACATTCATTTCAATTTTAATTACTTATCATATCAGGTCAAAAACCAATTAAAAATTTAACATGGTGTGCCCTATAGGGTTCTAAAGGCTTAGTATAGGAGTAAGAAACTCCTATGTATAAATACGGAACCCTAAAAATCATAAAAGAAGAAAATGAAACGTATAACGAATACTGCAGTGATGGATGGATGCAAAGTGTAGTTCCATTTAAAATTCAACTGTGCCTCTCGAAAGGTAGAGCCATTTTTAGGAATATGTGCACTCGGTTATGTGAAAAATTCGTTAAAGAATTTTAGACAATTTAGATTTGACACGTGAGTTTCTCAATTGGAGTTTCCTGACATTTTTAAGTCTTGAAGTATTAAAAGTAAGATAAAATTTTAATGTCCTTTTGTTAACAGGTACAAAGACAAGTTTTAATTAAATTACACCTTTTGAATTGACAGAATTATAAATAAATATGTATTCGTAACAAAGTTAATATTACTGTTATAAATTTTGCAATAAACTGCTTTGAAACGAATTTGGTCCATTTTAACGAAAAACGAAAATGGTCCATTTTAAGACGTCGAATAATTGTCAGTTATTACCGCCATTTTAACTACAATTTCAACATATTTGAATGTGCTGAAACCATCCAATATAAGCCAAACCACTTTAGAATTCCGTGAAAATGTTTATAGTGTCTTCGGAGCACTTTGCGGGCAAGTCCAAACAAAAGTAAGCGAGCGGCGAGCATTGCCAAAAACTACACAAGCCTGCCACGAAAAGTATAGTTACCACACTTTAAATATTATACGTTTTTTTAACCGGTATATGTTTCTTTATTAGTCTCTTTTGAACAGTCTCTTTTAACTCTACATTCTTGATTTTTTTTCCAAAAGACTGCACTGCGGAACATAAGTACTACATTAAATACAAGTTAACAACCTATTTTTCTGACACACTTATCAGTTACGAGTACGTAGCTCCAAACACGAGCTCTCCATACTTATTTCATTAATGTTTCATAATTATGTATTACTACTTAGTTTTTCCAAACAAAGTGAAACTAGTGGAGCTACTCCCTACAAAGTGATCTGTAGCTTCGTATGTATTTATGACCTCTTCCTGTACCTATCTCTCTCACGCAAAGCGAAAAGCCAGCACCAACGACAGTGACAAATAGATCCGAAAATACGTATACGAGGCCTGCAGATTGCGGTAAATTCACAAGATTCCACCTCACAGTCTCAGAATTTCGCATATCCAATTTTAATCTCAGCCTGCACAAAGGCTGTCTAAGGACTGTCCCAGATTGCAGAACTTCAAACTCCTCCTATGTTCTTCTGACTAATTTCGTTGCGGGTCCAATGACAGTTTAATTTTCCCCCGGGACAAACTTGACCTTCAACGGGTTTTTATTGGCGGTCAAGCTGTAGATCCTGGCTACACAGGAGTTGCAGCGGTGGGAACGAGAGGTGGGAATAGTCACTGTCCCAGATTGCGGATTGGTTGGCTACCCTACATGCAAACAATGCACGAGGCCAGGCTTCTAGCCAAATTACATAACAAGATATGCCGTAATACTGTTTCTGTAATCAAATTACTTCGAAGACACAAATGCACTTAGGAGTTTGCATGTGCTTCTGAAGACATTTTCTTTATGTCGACGTAAAATTGTGAACTCCGTCAGTTTATAATATAACGTGTGAGATTGTAAACTGACAGTGAGTTAGGTTAGATTATCTAACAACGTCAGATTAAAATAAGATGGAATTCATAATACGAGTGAGTATGTAATACCGTGTCACTTATACACCTTCATTTTCTAATTAAATATGTAGTTAAAATTAAGTTAGTATTTAACTGGAAACTTCTTTCTTGTTTAATATTCAAAAATCTTCCAATTGTTTTAATTAAATTCTTATTAAATGGGACTGTCTCGCAAGTGTTCGAAAATAAGACATCCTTTAGTGAAATTTTATGCGTAGGAATGAGATTAAGCTTCTATTTTGTTTCCTTGTACGAGTGTGTCAGTTACAACAAATTATTTATATTGATATTACGAAAAACCTCGAAGGATGTTTTTTATAAACTTTCATTCGACTCCTAATAAAATTCAAGGGCCACCATACTTATTACTACCAAGGTATTTTCAAAGAAGATATTTTCTGACCATTTTCCTTATTATGTTTGCCGTGTAAACAAACTGTAAATACCCTCTTGAGGCTCTCGAGAGTGATGGCTATCTGATATCTATATTGGCAAACGAGATATCAGCTGCCGCCGCTGCCGGATGCACACTTCTGTGGGTATGCCCGCGAATTTTATTCGAATATTTCTTAGGCAATCATACCAATAACTGATTTAGGGTTACACCAACCTTTCTGCCGCCTAAGTAATTTAAATAAACATATCTTTGATTCCTAATCCTAACACACTGGAGACAACTATTTTATCATATTTATTAATACAAATTGCTCATTACTAATGGCGCTGAGTAGTAAACCAGTAAATAGAGTGTATTGCCGTTATATGTATTATTGAAGAACTAATACTACTTATATTGTTGGTAAGTTTTTGTTTACCATTGGAGTTGTAATAATAAAGTAGATCTCTAATAAAGAATGAAAACATCTAATTTATAACAAAACTGTTAAAAATATCAAATTATACCTAGCTACACCCTGTACAATCTATGTAATAATACGACCCTTCAGTTGCCAATTCACTAACAACCCATACAGTCCTTATAACACTTAAATATAGCGAAGAGCTCGTTTTCTCTATCGACATTTATCGTTTCTGAGGCTCTACTCTACCAACCGTTTTGGCTCTATTCAGTTTGTCTTTCTCTCTCACACATATGCGATTGAAAGAGTCAAACGTAGCCGTTTAAGGATTGTTTTGCGTGGTAGAACCCCGTCTGTTGTTACTCATTTATTCGCCTGATAGATTAGAGTGGGACCGTGCGAGGCACTAAATGTTTTACGGCTTTGAGACAGGGATGATTGATGTGTGAAAAGGACGAACGGAGTCAATGGTCTGGCCATAAAGCAGGAAGAGTCAATAGACCCGGCACGAAATGATATAATACATACTAATGATAGGATATGAATCCTCGTAAGACCGAACAGTAAATTTTTCCCACTTGTAAGTAACGCCGAATGTGCTTTCAGAAGAACGAATAAGGTGAAGTCGCAAACGAATTTTCTTTTGTAGTCATATTTTCAGGGACCTTATATGATAGTGCATAGAACTTATTTTAGGTAAAAAATAATAAAATATTGTAGGATATTGATTGTGTGTCATTGAATTAGACATCAGTGACTCGGATTCGGAACATACCTGCTAACAGTGTCATATTTACTACGAGCTCTTGGCAATTTAATTATTCATAGCTGACACCATTAACATACCATACCTTCGATAAAAATCATCACTTTAAACCTGAAAACTCAATTTGTTGGTAATTAAGAACCCAAGCCCAAACAGTATAAATAAAAATAAACCTTTTGGCTATACAATAGGTATTAGGTATTTTTATTGACGTTGCTTCTAGAAATAGAGTTAGTTTTGAGTAGTTGTATTTCATTTGAATTAACCTTTTTCGATTGACCTACTAAGCGACTGCGCACACTGGGCGACAGTCGTAGCGACTAGACGCGGCGACTAGGCGACTAAATTCTTGTCCATTTCATATATTAGCTGTCGTCGCGACGACAAGAATAAGCGTCTAGTCGCCGCGACTTTCGCCCAGTGTACGCAGTCGCTAAAGATTAATTTCATGTAGGTAGCATGCATTTCTTTAGTCTTTTTTCTTTTGTTTTTGGGCTCTACCGCTCTCATATGCACTGTAGGCCAATATAAGCGACGATCATAATCAATTCATGTTGTGACGCGATAAAGGTGGGCCGTTTGCGTGGAAATATTGGTTTTCTTCAGACGTAAATATGTCTGGCGAGGCAGCCACCCCTTTATTTATTTGGCACACAAAACACATTAACGTAAAACATGCACACATCGCGTCTAGGCTT